CCACCCCCGGTTCAGGGCCAGGCCTGGTGACTGTCAGGCCGGGCTCAGGTGCCAACAAGCTGCAGGAGGAGGTGCTGATCCAGGAGTGGTTCACACTGGTCAACAAGAAGAACGCTCTCATCCGGAGGCAGGACCAGCTGCAGCTGCTGTGAGTGCTGGGCCCGCGCCGTCCAGGCCCCACCCGGCCACCCGGCCCACAGAGCAGAGAAGCTTTGCTCCTGTGATGAGAGCGACTCACTGCTTTCTTCTCTCTATGAAGATCTTTTTGAAAAATTGCTCAGCCATCTTATTCCCCCCTCCCCCAATTTCCTGTTTAAAGTGTGTACCTCTTAAATTGGCGCTAATTTTACAAATGAGAGAAAAATGCGGTGCAGACAGGTCGGGGCTGAGTGTCCTAGTTTGACCCTGTTCCTTTACAGTTAGGGAAACTGAGGCCCAGAGAGACCTGAGCTGGATCCCCCAGTGGCATCAGAGAAGCCACTCTGGCAACAATCGCCTTCGTAGTCCTGCATTTTGGATCATTTTTCAGAATAATTTTAATTTAACACTTGCTGTTTATGAGTAATGTTCATGCAAATAATCCCACTGAGTTATTATTTCATTTTATTATTATTTTTAATCCTCACCAGAGGATATGCTTGTTTGTTTTTTCATTGATTCTAGAGAGAGGAAGGGGGAGAGGGAGATATATCCATTGGTTTGCCTCCCATATGCCCCCCAACTGGGATTGAACCCACCACCATTCAGTGCAGGGAGCGATGCTCTAACCCACTGAGCACACACAGGGCTGTTTCGTATTTTTAAAGGGGTGGGGCACTCTGGCCGGTAGCTCAGCTGGTTAGAAAGTCATCCCCACAGGCCAAGGTTGCAGGTTTGCTCTCTGGTCAGGGCACATACAAGAAGCAACCAATGAATGAATATGTAAGTGGGACAACAATATTAATGCTTTTCTCTCTCTCAAATCAATAATTAAAATAAAAAGGGGTGGGGTGGGAGGAGACAATATACACTTCCAACAATTGGGGAACAGTTGGAACAAAAGTGATGGCTGACTCCAGGATAGAGCTGTGCCCTCAGCCCAGCCCTCGGGAGAACTGGGGGGTGAGGTGCGTGGGGGCCAGGGAGTGGCTCTCCCGGTCCCCTTCCCCTGATCCGCACCTCCGCCTCCCAGCATCGAGGAGCAGGACTTGGAGCGGAGGTTCGAGCTGCTGAGCCGGGAGCTACGGGCCATGCTGGCCATCGAAGGTGGGAGATGCGGCCGGAGGGGCCTGGGTGGAGGACAGGGCCGCGGCCGGTGCCTCCTGACCCTCCGCCCCTTCCGCCCTCAGACTGGCTGAAAACGGCGGCGCAGCAGCACCGAGAGCAGCTCTTGCTGGAGGAGTTGGTGTCGCTGGTGAACCAGCGCGACGAGCTGGTCCGGAACTTGGACCACAAGGAGCGGATGTGAGTGGGGCCGGGGCGCA